TACAACATTCAAAAAATATCACATTGCTCCAAAATAGAAAACTTAACATTATGATCAACGTGCTTTGTCCTGCCTAGTTCTTTATTCTGCATTGTTTCATGAGCAGCGAACAGGCAAAGAACATGTGCAAGCTGTTCTTGCCTGAGGGGGATCATAGCGAACACCTCTCGAAGCTAGAGGTACAGGAAGAATTAAGTGTGTGCATGTGAAAGTTTCTTCCATTCTCTCCATTCATTTGGACAGTATTAAAACCCTCCTTTTTCTCCTGTGTATTTCAACGGCATCTTTAGAAGCTTTAAAGAATCTGGAGATGAAGATCTGGTTTCTTTCAATCACTAGAAAGGAATATGAGAAACCTAACTCCATCTGGGTGCAGACTCTTCACTGCACAGCTGACCCTTCTGAGGCTCCAAACTCTTCTCTGATGAGCGCAGTTCGCAGCTGCTTGTACGTAAGAAGGAAAGGGAGCAGGGTAATAACTCTTCATGGCTTATCCGTATTCACCACAGACTATGAACTAAATTTTCTTTCACCCTGGTTTAAATTTCTGAAGATGCTGTTCCTCGATGACAGGCTTTCTTCTGCTGCGAGCTGACGTATGTCGTTAAGTCCTAATGAGCAATGCTGGTTTACTAACTTCAGTTGAGGTACAAAGACAAATCTGTTGTTCTAATTGCTTTTTCTTCTCAGATCTCAGCCTACTCAGCACCTTGCATGAAGATGGCAAAAAAAGGTTGTGAAAAGTGCATATTTGGACTTCAAAACCAGTATAAAATTATCCAGAATGTACATGGCAGCAACTGGTAACCTGTGCCTTTAAGAATATTATTTATTTGTTTTTGTAAACAACCTTATTTTTAAACAAATTAAAAATACATTGAAAAGTCTCTCTCTCTACATATATATACACAGTACACATTCAAACTTCACTTCATCGCGATGCCATGGTTCAAGCAGAAAAACCAGAGCTCTTGATCCAAAACTCAGTTGCAACACAACCATCTTGGGCAGCACAGAACACTAGGCTGCCGAGACCCGCTCCTTTCAAGAACGCTTCATTTGTTATTTATCACCTGAACCGTTTTCCGGCCGTAGTGGTAATAGCTGTACGCTGATGTTACCGTTGTGAGAGCTGTGATGCACCTTTGGGGAAAATAGTTCCTCTAAGTCATTTGAGTCTAAGTACAATAACAAAAAAGTGTTATTTTTAAGCATCTTCCCTATTTTTCACTACACAGTCAAGGACTACAGAAATGCAGCAGACAGTTCATATGCTGAAATTCAGGGCTAAATGGAGGATTAGATAAACAAAGGAACTGCCATCCAGAGCTAAGTAGCATGCTTCAGTGTAACTGCATACTAGGCCAAATTTTTATGACATTAGCACTTGTTTTAGAGAAGGGAAGACAAAAGATCTGTTTCAGTACTTGTACCCTTATACAATTTTTACCAGCTTGAGAACTGACTGATGTGAGAAAGTATCCCTTGGTGGTATTCAAATCATACAAGACTTGAACCTAACATTTTACCAAGTCCCAAAGTGACAGCACAACTTCAGCCTCTTTTGTGTCCTTTCCAGACACTGGGTAATAATCATGTGTATTTCTAAATTAGCAGTGCTCCTCTGTGCCAAAGGCTGACACCATTCGGGTGCAAGCCACCGCCACAGTCCTGCCCCTCCGTCACCGTGCCCTCCCTGGACACACTACCAGAGTCACCCAGGTCATTCCTGAGCGCATTCAGAGAGGAGCCTGCTCAGCTACACCCAGCCTTTCTCCATTGCTCACACTGCATCTCTTCATTACTCACAACATGGTAACTCTCTCAGACAGTCCCAGACAAAAAGCAAGGCAAGCATCTTTTGCAGAGGCAATTCTAGGTTTGGCTTTTTGGATGAAAAAACCACACTGACTACTACGATCAATGTCGCCAGTTCCTTAAAAGCTTTGGGATTTGTTTTTATCTGGGTTTTGCTTTTTGTTGTTGTTGGGGTTTTTTGTTTGGTTTTTTTTTCTAAAAGATGGGCAATACTTTTTTCTGCTGCTTTACAGTAAGTTACTAAGTAATTCTGCTATCTGCTGTTCAACCCCCTTGTTCTGACCTCTTACCTAACTGCTCAGGGGAAATAATTGCACTTATAACACCTGCCATCAGCTACAATTCAGCCTCAGACACAGTTCAGCTCTCCAATGACAGCAGGGAAATGAACAGTCATCATTTAAGGAGGTGTGTTCCTGTATCCCTGTTTTCATTCGATCCCTCCCCTTCCTTCCTACAGTCTAGCAGGAATCACTGATTTCTTCAGGTGCTTTTCAAAGAGGCTACAGAAACCTATATTTCAAGACAGCAGCTACAGTATAAAGCAAAAGTAAGAAAACACTTTCCGTCTATTTTTATGGATATCAAGATTGCTTTTTCAAGGACATTTATGGCACAAATAAAGAAAGGATCCATACAGCCTTTCTTCCCACTCCCTTCTTTTCTATTAACCTGAATTTACACTTTGCCTGTGTACACCATGTCTATTCTGAAGATATGTTTCTCAGCTACTATTCCTGGATCTTAACTAGTTTCATTTGACTACTTTTTGCTTGCATAGGAAATTAAGTACCACTAAATATATCTAGCTCCTGCGTCAGTTAAGAATAAAAACGTAAAAATTCAGGCATATGGGTCTACTGCACCATCCAGGCACAGTGGTTTTGTTCCACACTATTAGATTAATCTCAATTACCCATTTCTTTAGGAGTGCTATAAATCATCTGAAAAAAAAAAAAGTGAAGAGAGAAGTTACCATAATGTCTGCAGATATATGCTGTCCACATAATTGAAAACAGGAGCTGCTAAAGAAGCTGCCACCAAAATGAACCGCTGTATTCATCTGATAAAAGCAAAATCGGAAATGGGACCAAAATGAAGACGTGTACTATTCAAGGAAGACCAATATACACTTTTATTCTTGTCTTAAGTGTTAGTCTATATATCGAAAATTTATTTAGAAACATTTTTTAATGAAGCACCTTACACACTCAAAACTAGCATGTGCTCTGACAGAGTATGGTTGAAAACCTTCCAGGACACAAGTTGCCTCTAAATTTGCTGGCACCATTTCGAAACTGTGCTCAGCTGTAGTAGTAAACGGCCCCCTCCCTCCAAACTACACACCAGCCCAAGTACCGCGGGGTTATCTTTTGCAGCTAGTTACTGCTCTTACCTTGCTAATGAACGTTGGTTTTAATTGGGCAGTAGCATAACAGGGGTTGAAATACCTACTGAGTGTTCTCTGTTGGAGGAGAAAAGAGAAGGAAGAAGAGGCAATTCTAGTATATTCAATCTGAGGTACCTCTTCACATGATACAGAAGAAAAGTAAACTGTAGCACTACAGAATTATACTGCTACCGCTCCCTTATGATTTATCAGACATCACCCACAGGAAAAAAAAAAGTTACCAGTGTCTCCGACTCATCTTTATGAAACCTATTTTATGAAATACTGTTCTGCTTACTTATTGCTATCTGGCAAAAGAACAAGCACCGCATTACATCTCAGGCTATCCACCCAAGTGTCGAGAAACCGTCAAGTCTCAAGATGAAAAATCTCTTGGTTACAACTTTGTTAAAGGCTTATTCCTTTTTTTTTTTCATACTTGGAAAAAATACAGAAAATTTAATCAAAATAAAATTATTACTTGTTCATATAATTTTCTTTAATTCTATGCACTTACCGGTGGAGAAAGAGTTTTGTATCGCACATAAAAAACAGCAGCAATGAGCGCTACATCCCTCAGAATGATCATGGAAGTAAGCGAAACTGAAAAACCAAGCCAACAGGATCTAGTGAAAAATCACATCCGTAATTAAAACCAAAAGCAAACCAAAAGAGCACAAAGTGTGAAGTGAGAAGAAACAACCACTCCCAAATTCTTTCCAAAAAGCTTTATGCGTGACTGAAGACTTTTAACGCGACTTCTGAAAGGGTTTAATCTGAAGTCTTAAAACAAGTCTATGAGAAAGTGTTTGATGCAGCTACTGTTATTGCTTTAAAGAAAATACATTCTAAAACAGCAGTATACGCTGGTTGGTTTTGTATACGGCACCATATGCTTTCTGGAAGGTCTGTTGGTGGGGGACGTTTTTTAAGTAGTTAACAGGAGCGAGTAGCAAAGTGCCACTGACAAAGCAAGAGTTCCAAGCCATACACAGCTTTCATTCCAGAAACACAAGAAACACTACTACACCTAAAATTAGCTCCTTTACTTCATATAGTACATGCAATTGACATTTTCTCACCTGGGACAAGATTTGCACAAGTTAGGCTTACATAGAGCACACTGATGAGAATTTTGTCAGCCAGAGGATCAAGAGCACTTCCCAAAGCCGATTTCTGATTAGCCCAGTTGCGTGCAATAAATCCATCCAGCTAGGAAA